CCAGGGATGGTGTGTGACCATGGAAACAGTGGAGCCTTCATAAAAGCATTGATCCAATAGGGATTTGAGCCTGTCATCACTTTTCAAGCTGAGTGAAAGATGATGTCATGACCAGCTAAACTACTTAAAGCCTTCATCCCTCCTAAGATGCTTCTGAAAGCTCATCCTGACCGAGCACACAAGTCATAAGGGCAGAGATGTGCACAGATTGGGATGTTCGTGGGCGACAGCATTGGCAGAGTGAGTCTTAGCTGTGATATAAGTTTTCCCTTGTTACCATGTTCTCAGGCTTCACGGGGGCAAATGTCTGATGATTGAAGAAGAATAAAAACTTATTCACAGTTGATTATTACAGATACGCTTTCGGATAACTGCTTGTATTGCATTTACCTCTGTGTGTGTGTGACTGTTAGCAGAAAGGAATTCAACTTTCTGTGCAAAATCAGACAGATGTTTATGTAGCTGTGATTATGTCACCCATTTAGGGATTAGACTGTTGATAATGCATGGTAAGCAACTCTGATTATTTCATCATCATACTGTGACAAAACGATTCTTCCAGCATAAATACACATGTCTACGTCTCGTGGTATGTTGTTGATGTGCTTGTTAGGTTCTAAATGAGACTATTTGCATAGTGTGTCCCCTTTGATGTCTATAATCAGTAGGATATTATATCAGTCTTTGGGGTTTTATGTGGTTTGGTTGTGGTAATACCATCACCATATGACACCAGATGACAGCTGTGGGCAGAGCCAAGCAGCACACAGCAGAGCAGGTTAAATTAGATTTCCACTGTCTCCCTGCCATCCATCTACAATATCCTTCAAATGGGCACAATCCCAGCATTAGCAGCTACAGCCTGTCCAAGCTCCTTTGCAAATGCACAAAATTGCTTTGGAGCGGAAGGGAAGAAGGGCCGAGGGCATGGGAAGCAAAGGAAGGACAATGAAGGAGGGCGAATGGAGGGCAGGGGGTTTAGAGTCTTGAGAGCCAGAGATTTTTTAAACACTATATAACAAACTAAAACATGTCAACTTAGGTCATCCCAGGGAGGGTCTCTGAGGCAAGTACATCACCACAGTGACACTGCATTAACATAAATATAACTTACAGATCCGTTGGGTTGTTTGAGAAAGACTGTAAGATGCATTCCTTTAAGTGGAGCCTTGGCAGTGGTTCCACTGCATTCTGACAGGGCAGGCGTGAGATGAATTACAATGAATACAAGCTCTCTCTGCAATCCGGATTAAGGATTCACTTAAGTGCCCATCCTGTTAGGCCCTTATGGCTCGCGCATCCATATTCTAAACAGATATGTCATCAGCTCATAGTACTGAAGAGGACATGAGCCTCTAGTGAATCCAAATACCATACGTGGCCACATTTATGACATAATTATGCCAAAATGTTCATCCTGATTCCTCTATTAAATATAGTGATTATCTGTTTTAAGCATATATGTTTGCCTTCTACGTGTTTTCAATATTTCTTAACTTCTATACTGGGAAACACTGTGCTTTGATGTTTAAAGTAGCAGCAACAATTATCTTTATCTCCAGTTTTAATATAAAATAAATCAAACATCAGTTCATAAGAGGACACAGGTGCCCTTCTCAGTTGGGTGTTCTGCTTCAAAAACGTCCATGACTCAATCAGTCAGTCAGTGAGTTGAAGTTAAAATTCACCGAATTGATTGAGACGTAAAGA